TTGCTTTTATCGAAGCTTGTTATTCAAAGGATATCACGTTCGCGTTCAGCATCCTACAAAGCGAATCTTTAATCTTCCAACGCTGTGTGACAGTCACAAAGTATAACTACTATATTCGTTGTTTAGTTTGGAAAAAGCATAAGGGTGCGGACAAACGTAAGAGTCAATGCAAATATCCCCTATGATAGAAACTTTGTTTAAAACAGTACGTACACGCGTTCAGAAGCGTTGAATGTTAATTAACTCCGCAGATTGAAACGCGGAGGAAAATGTACAATTGCAAGCAAATTTTGGAAATTTACCTTCGAGTTCGCGATCATATATACCACCTGTATTTAATAAATAATATTATAAAAATAAATCCTTTATTTTTGAGACATTAGGCATTAATTAGTTGCATGATTAATGATATGAACTTCGTTTCATAAAATGAAGTTAAGGTCATTTGCACAACGTTTTATTTATTACAACGTGTCATTCGTCAACGTTTATTGTAGATAGTAAAACATTTAAATTGCACGTTTATAACGGGATTATTAATTTCATGTGAACTCATAATATAGTACTATTATGTAGAGTAGATATAGTTATTTAACATTGTAAAAGTTTTCTCACAAAATGTTGTATTATTTTGTGAAATTCTCATTTGTTTCTCTAACAATTTTGATGACAAGATAGCAGATGATATTCATTTTCAAAATACCTGAACATTTGTACGTTGACTTCTATTATGTTGCAATTATGCTCCATCTTTTCAAAGAAAGAGATATAGACATTTCTAGTCTTGGATGAAATAGTTGTGACAAAGAAATGATTACAAGAAAGAAACTAAAGAAAGATCATGATATATGAAATTGAACAGTTATACGTGTGAGTAGGATTTGCGCGATCATACGCAATCATACGCAGTTTAATACAAAACTTACTCCACTTAGCGTTAATAAGAGAATTTACAAATTCAACTATTTATTTATTCTCTATGGATAGACGTTCCTTTCACGTACCAAATATTATAATAACTACTTTGGATATTATATGCACTTCTAATTTTTTCACGGGTGCACAATCATTCTTTTACTGTTGTGTCAAGAGACAAATTCAGTTGAAGAGGCTTTAAAAAAAAAATAATAATAATAATAATTGTTTTATTCTATCGTGCTGTTACATCCTTCATCTGAATTTGCTAACTTATTGACGACAGTACATGTATGTATGTTGACGCAACATTAATTGTAAACACGTTAAATGCTCGCTGTATGCGTCGCATCGTATCGAGTTAGCCTTAGTTTAAAATCGAATTCTCCATCGATTTCCCACTAATCGGAGGGTACGTTTCGTGCGTGTGACAGGTGGACGTCTCGACCCAGGTGGATCTGTACGGTGGTTTCGGGGCGCCAGCTGGCAGCATCAGTATCGACTGGGATCGCAGGGCGACCCCGCTGTACTCGCGCGAAGACATCAAGGAGCAGTATTGCATAACCAGCCGGCAATTGGACGCGGTGGAGAAATCGGGTGGTGGCTTCTTCGGCTGCTTGTCGACCAGGGGCCCGTCACCGTGCACCTCCGCGAGGACCTCGATCCTCTCCGCTTGCGTGAGGAGCGTGCCAAGCGATGAGAACCTCTGCGACGCTCCTTACCCCCGACGATCCCTGCAGATCATGTACCGCCAGCCCTACCCGACCTACTCGAGAGGTTTGTCTCGTTACGACTTCGAGGACGAGGCCGACTGGATCGAGAGTTCCTACTTCCGGCGCAGACCCAGGTCCTTCTGCACCGTCCCCGACCCGAAAAGGTGAGTCCTTCGAGTGTTTCCTGGTTGCAGGACGCGGAGTACAGTATTAGATGAAACGAAGAAAATGATATTTCGTACAATTAATTTTAAATGCTATTCTCTTCGTTTCTTCGTCCTAAAGCTATCCTTTTCTTTTTCTTTTTTTTTTTTTCTCTGTGCAATATACGGAAAGTCGAATAGAGTTGTGTAATACTGAAGCCGAACTTGGTTCCTTGGGCATGATTTTATCATTTTTCGTGAACGTCTGAACGAAATTCAATTTTTATGCATTCATATTGACGCAAGTCACGCATGTTTCTGCTAAAATGGTACATACATATTTTCGACAGATAATGGCTTTGTATTTAAAAAGGAGTTTGATGTTTTGAACTTTTGTATTAATATTCTCGCAAAGTAATAGCAAGAAACTGCTGCATTTTACATATATATATTAATAGTTTACACATAATGTTTCATTATTCGAAAACCGAATGCTTGAATATCAGTTTCAAGTGACAACTAATCAGATTTAGATAATACAGTGCCTAAGGAATATATCAGAAAGGGTGAATATAATACGTACGTGTGTACTTTAATAGTTCATAAAAATGATCATCAAATCACATTTAGACTTTTAAATTTTACTAGAGGTACGAAAGATGTTGACAATTGTAAACTTTTTGGATATTGACTCGAGAAGATCAGCACGATTAAAAAAAAAAAACAATTTACACTTTATATGGTAGTTTGTATACAAAAATGGACTAGATGCATTGGCAAGCAAAAGAACTATATTAAAAACTAATGTTGTAAAAACTTCATTATTGTTCTGGTAGATTTTATAATTACATTGCGGTTCATTTTCCAAATCGATTATTAACTCCACAAAGTGAAAAACGAAGAAATGAGTACATCCCTTTTTAAAAATATTTCTTTTAAAATTTAAACTCATTCACGTGAATTTTAGAGTGTATTAGCTTTTATAAAATACATAAAATAGTGTATCCCTGGAATAACCACACTGGCTTTTGAAATAAATTATTCATTATTAATTTTGGTTATTTGGTGATGTTAAACTTGATTATCAAGGAAATTTATTTCAAATGTGTAAAACTAAACATCAACCAAGTGCTTCGATAATAAAATTCATTTATAACAGTTAATCACTTTAGTGTCTGAACAACTCGATTGTCGAATCATTCTCGTAATTTTCCAATTAAATTAATTCCGCAAGAATTGGGAAATATTCTATTATTTTTTTCTATCTAGAATTTTTCTATTTAGAATTTTTATCAGTATACCATATCACTTCTTTTGTATCGGTGTAACAAGAAAAGTCTAGCAGAAAAAGAAATTTATACAGAAACTTTAGCTTTTAAAGCTTCCAAAGAATAATAAATTTCATGCTTACTCTAAGTACGATGTATAGAGAAGTACCTTCCCACCTTAATTTTCACGGGCGCTGCACACGTCAAAGTTCAAACAATCGTTATCAATCTTGCTACATTCGCCCGTGCAACGTGGAACGTAATCGTGCATTAAATCGTAAATGCAAATTACGTGCTTCGATTTATCTCTATCTCCCCTTTGTCGCAATATTTTCATTAATTCCGTGTCGTATCTACAACGACCGTTTCAACGACGCCTTTAGTAGTATTTGCATGGGCCATCTTATATACAGACTGAAACTGACACAGCTAAGTATCGAGAATGCAAACCACGAAGATGCAAATGAGGCCCCGGCAATCATAGATCAGCGTTGTCGTTCGCATTAAATCCTCGGCAGCGTCTATTTCCCAATTTCTCGCGAACAGGTCCCGACAAATGCGGGAGGAAGAAGAAAAAGAGAGGAGAGTCCGTCGTTAATATCGAGTTGTACGACAAATTTACCACCGTGTTTGCCGCGGTGACGGTGATAATATTCTCAGGGCGTAAGGGAGGTTTACCACACGACGAGAGATATCTCATCGTTCACGGTGCCGTGATTCGACGGCGTAAATATTCCCGAAGTGGCACCGAGAGGAATTAACCACTCGGAACCTCGAGTATAAAATACACCGACAGAATCTTAAGAAGGATGTTTGGAAGTTTGTAACCGGCCCCAGCTATCTGACGTGACAATTTCACGAAACCTCGTTACCGACTGGTTATCGCTACTGCCAAGGGTGAAATGTACGATCAAGAGAGATCGAGGAAATACGATAAGGTGGCCGGTGTTATTTTTATTTCTATCGGTAACACAGTACAGATTTTCTTTGGTGCATTTGCGCATATGTGAGTCAATAATACAAGACGAGTTTAATTTAATGTTGTCCAAAGTGGATGATGAGCATTTCTAAGCATGATGGCAAATTAGTTTCTAGATTTTAAACCGTACATACCATAGTAAAATTATTTCTTTCTGTACAGATACGTATGAATAAAATCGTTTTACTTCAGTGTATGAATTGAAATGACCAATTTACTCACAAATTTCTCTTTAATTTTAAACCAAAATTATTTAGTATTAGTTTATTATTACATTAATAAATTTATGTATTACGAAGTAATATTAATGTATGAATTTATGATTAGTATTGATATTAATATGATATTAATATATTATGATAATAAATAATATAAAATAGTTTATTTACCATTATACAGTAAAATTATTTCTTACTTTACTTCCTAAAATGTGTAAAAAACATTGTTTCGTTAATTTCCTGTCTTGCAATATCGTACTCGTGGTACAAGTTATGGTTTCGATTTGAAAGAGAAAGCAAATGGTAAACCAATAAATGAAATTCGAATTTTAAATTCAATTTCTTTGAACTGAACGTTGATAAATAAAAATTATACATAACGTTTCAATGCTTTATATTTGAGGTAACGCAGATTCACTAAGGTGATGCTTACCTCAAAAACTCGAAAAGAAAATCAGCAAGAAGGTCAGGGCTTAAAATATTTCCTTTCTGCGCAAGAAATAAAAAAATTGCCACCTTTCCCCGATCTCTCCTCGAGTATATGATGGCGTGTTCAAGGGGTTTGGTTTATTTCTGATTGCTGCAGTGCTTGCCTTCAAAGCACTGTCGCCAATCGATGAAAAATTATGTTTGCCCGCGTTAAGTGTACGCGCTGCCGTATTTAGACTTTGGTTAGCGCGTCGATGCGCGAGTACGTGCGGAAATAAGTGTGGTCACGTGATTCCGATCGATTTTTTTTTAAATATTGTCACGGTGAAGAAAACGCGACGTTTAGGGAAACGATGTGTTACACTTAGCAGCCGCGGTGAGTTCATACCTGTGCTTTGTCTTCGGCCAGTTGGAACTATTGTTGAATCGCGTGCCTCTCGAAATCGCGGTTCACGTACGGGCTGATGCATAATGGTGCTTCAGCTCCATTTTGATTGACGTCTCGATCTCTGGACTTAAATCATCCAACTTCGATACGTGAAGTGTCCTCGCGAAACCCTTTGACTTGTTGTATAGTTGATAGCGTATTAAAGAGGGTTGGATGCAAACAGAACTTTAGAATGCTCTTCATCAGATTATGAATTGTTCCCTATATTATTATTGTATTTTCTACAAAATTCATGCAGTTACATTGACTTTGCATTAATGATATATATTTTTCAAGACAAATATATTCGACGCGACTTTGTACGTTCTTTTCATGGCATAGAATATTTTAATATATAATTTTTATGAAATATTATTACGTTGCAACAGAAAGTGCAATGCAAGCGCATCCTTCCTTTTGTAATATTATTTACGTATTTATATCGTTTAAAATTTTTTCCGTTGACGATACTTACTTCACTTTAACCATTGTAGAATATTTATAAGAATAAAATATTATATAAACTATTCGATTGTTTTATTTATTTTAATTGCAATTATAAGTGGATTTATAATAGTAAACAAGAAGAATAGAATCTTCAGATAAGTTTTCTCATACTAGATATATATTTGCTTCAGATGTTATAAAAGTATTAAATAAATACAAAATAATAAGATGATATTAGAATATTATAAAATAAGAACAGTATTGTATTTCAGTACGTTTCTGTTTTACTATCATTTTACGCAGTAGCGTATCTAGAAAGATTATGATTAAAATTCATTTCGTTCATTGATACATGGTGGACAAAAGGAAGTTTGAAAAGCGAATGAGTTAATGCATAATTTTATGAAATGAAATTTTATTTAATTAAAACGAATGAATAGATTAGCATACATGCCAGAATAAATCGCTGTTATTAATGTTGATCAAAGATCATCCAATTTTGAAACACACATATGCTAATTATTTTAATTGCTTGCCTTATGATTATATTTTTCAATTTTTTTCTGTCATAAATTAGCTTGCTCTATTACATCATATTAAATGTAAAGTATATCGAAAAGTAACATAGAATTTGTATTTATGAATCTCCAGATTAATTTATTTATTAATCTCCGAATTTCATAGAACATACAACTATATGTAATTTGCTTTTTCATTCAGATGGAAAAAATAATTCATGATATTATAAAACACAAGTGGTTAAATTTTTCGCAGTTTCGAATTATGTTAATTAAATTGTAACAAGAAATAATTAATTTTTTAACATTACAGTTTTGCAATTACTTCACTGCATACAACGAATATTTCACTTTTAAGTAACTTAATTTAAAGATTAATATTTTTCTATATACAACAAATTTCAACTTTTACTACAAACAACAACTTTTAAATAATATACTTTCTTAAAACTGACTTTTCTCGCCTCTTGCGTGCAATTTAAAATAGCAAGTACACGTTTGTCCATCTTTTTATTCGCAAATGGAATTATCTTTCAACGCTGTCAGCCTTGTCCTTCTCTTTTTTCAACGAC